CTTCCTGTTGTACAAAACTAATTTTTGCGTGATTTGATGTGAAAAACAGCCCATGGAAATTTTAATTTTTCCATGTGAAACTGCCTCTAACTTACATATCTTTTGCATAATGGCTTGGGTGGAAAAAGTCCTTCCTTTTGCATAGCTCTAGTGTTAGTCCCTATGTCTAGAAGATATTGCTCAAAATACATTGGGATGAGTAGGGCAGACACCGAATGGCAGATTCATGATGGTATCCAATCTTCTGCATCTATTTCTCAACTATTGCTTTCTGGTGATGGATTAAATGCAGAGGTTGTGTTAGCAGGAGAGATGGTGACAGTGTAATAAATGGAAAGGGATGGTTATTTGCCTGTCTTGCAAACCAACTTATTTTTTAGCACACTATTTGTCTCTTAAACTGAACTACTAATTAACAAACTGGCAGTAATGTACCAATTGCTGTACCATCAAGAGGATTACAGAACACGAGTAATTGAATTTCACACAAGACATGTTCTATCAATACACTGCATGAAAGAACTGCTGAGGCTGGTGACATCACCAGCAGTGACATCACCAGAGGGGGCAGAGCTTCAGCGGAGGATTGACCAAGGTGATAGGAGAGTGGCTCTCGAAAGAGGGAGATCTGGGAATGGTAAAGGAGTCGGAGGGCAGACAGAAGACCTGGATAGACTTGCCTGGAGAGGGGGGGCTAACTGAAAAAGGGTTAGTAGAGCTCTGAGGAGGGAACTAGAGGAGGCTGAAGAGAGCTCAGCTTGGTGACTCTAGCCCCAGCTGCTTGCCCATATAGGTCATGGTGGACTCTGGAGGGGAAAGAGGAAAGTGAGGGACTGCCAAGGCTGTTCCAGTAACCCAGCATCAAGGGCTGGTAGGGGAGGGATAGCTCAGTAGTTTGAGCATTGGCCTGCTAAACCCAGGGTTGTGAGTTCAATCCCTGAGGGGGATTGGTCCTGCTTACAGCAGGGGGTTGGACTAGATGATCTCCTGAGGACCCTTCCAACTCAGATATTCTATGATAATAACTGCTACAGGCAGCAAAGGTACCAGATAGAGAATCACCAAGTGTGTATATATGTCGGAGGGGAAGAAAGCAGATTGTCAGACTGTACTATTAAAAACTAAGACACAGAGTAGGAACTGGAGGGCTCAAGACACTGGTAACAGGAGTTAGTGCATTTAGCTTTCCATACTGAACCAAGCCCGGGTTGTTGGTATCATATGGCAGTTATCAGCTGGTGGCCCTTGGTAACTATGTGAGGTGAATCAGCAGTATCAACAGAGAACTGAATGAAGTGAGAGAGTGAACCCTCTCTCAGCCAAAGAAGTTGTTCTTTCAGAACAAGATTAAGGCTGCTGGGCTGTGTGAGGAAACTTCGATTGCCATGTTGTCTCTGGGCTGTGGGTAAAGAGAGGGCTTTGTTTTCCCATGTGCTCAAATCCCACTCTTTAACAAGTAGTAAATTACAAAATAAATTAAGTTCTGTGGTCAGTGCACTGTGGTATGTGCTAGAACACAAACACTATCACTCTTGGGGGGACTATTTTTCAGTTGTGATTTGACCTCTTCTCCTTTTCCCCTTCATGCCCATAAAAGGAGCCATCCCACTTTGTGTTTGCTGGCATCACTTTTAAAGTGGCTAAGATCTGACACACTGTTGTGTGTTGCATAGCCAGTGTCGGGACACTTCAGCCATTGCCTTGGAAATGGGCCCTTGCCTCGACACTGCTTGGCCTCTCCTATAGTTAACATCCAGAGCTGCAGACAAAGGTTGTGAGGAATTGCTTAGACTGTCTTTTAAGGCAACTGAAACCTAATAATACTTTATCCTTAGAGGTCATTCATGTGTTGCTGCTGAGTGCCTTCAACCCCCATTAAAGACAATGAAGATAGAAGGTAATTTAGTATTATGCTTGACTGGAACCTGTCAAAACAATTCATGATCCCCCCTCCCCGACCCTGAGGTAGGTGTGCAGTATTGTACCTGTTTTACAGTGAGTAAATAGAGACACAGATGTTAAGAGACTTTCCCAATGTAAATGATGAGGCCAGATGTTGAACCAAGAATCCAGCTCCTGGTGACCTACTCTAACCATTGCATCACTCATTGAAATGCCACCTGGACCTTTTAGATTTTATAGCTTCTAGAGCACTTCCAACAAATCAAAAAGAAATGGCCACCTCTTCTCTATAGTCAGCCTTGGCAATAGATTTTGAAGTAGTGCAATTAAATGCAATCTGTTATGCACGTCCACAGTGAATTGCTGCTGTCGTTTTAGGGATTGCCTGTTCTGTTAGTGCAGACACTGTCAGTTTTCTGCAGTTAATTCCAGTCACTACATTAATATCTACAGTACATCATTCTTCTGAATCAATGATCATTTCATGTGGTGTTAATATGCATGTGTAGCGCAGGCAGCATCCTGCAAACTTCTGCTGAGCATTTTCAGTTTTGTTTACATTTCATAGAGATGGATAATTAGAAATTATGGATAAATAGCATCTTTCATCCTGATGGATCCCACTAGGCTTTTACACTCTACGGTGTCCTGTCTTAAGGGACCGCCCAAGGAGCTAGCAAAAATCAGTTGTCAAGTAGAAAGTTGGTCTGAATGAAATTGTACAGTACTGGAAACCCCAGGGATATTTTAAAGTGCAAGGCAGGGGCTTGTGTCTTAGAAGTGGCCCTTATTGTAGGTTTTGCAGGTATATACAGGAAGCATTTTACTTGCCACTCATATTCAGCTATGCTGGAAATTATTGTTCACTTTATAATTACATAAGAACTGGATATTTATGTCCTGAAGACTGCAACTGCCACTGTCAATTACTAGAGCTTCACCCAGAAACCCAAACACTGTATGTTGTTCATAGATGTGTATGCAGTAAGTTTCACTTTATTTGGAGATGAATATAGAGACATAGGGTAACATTTTCAAAAGGGTCTATAAGACCCATTTTCAGAAGTGACTTAGAATCCTATGTCACTTAGACAATTTGAAAAATCTACCCATAATAACTATCCTATCTCCCTGGCCCTAGGCATTCACATGGTCATAGATTTTGAAATTAGAAAGAGCCTCTAAGCATTTAGTAGTATCTGCGCAGCTTTTCTCGGAGAGCAGAATACACCCATGGCTATTTGTGCTTTTAAAATGAAGCCCTACTGCCAATTTTTGTTCTATTTTTGGTTTCCATTTAATTTTCTTATTTCCCACTCTTGCATGGAGAGTTACAGTAGTGTGAGGTGGGGGACTCTGCTGATTGAACACCAGTTTGCCTCTGTGTCTGACTTTGGGTGACGTGGTGGGAAAAGAGCTCTACTCCACTTGATCCTTCACTGGCCTAAGTTAGAGCTATAGAGAAGTAACTAACTTGCACCTGGCCTGGGCAGCTCAGGATCAGGGAGTACAACTAGCTTCCTATGCAACCCCCCAGGGCTGGCTTTAGGAAGTGCGGGGCCCAATTTGAACATTTTAGGCGGGGCCCCGACAGGGATGACTAAAAAAAAACAAACGTAAAAAACGCCCTTTTATTTCTTCCATGTATTATTTACTTTCCATAACTATATAAATAAAATAAAATTGTATATTACATACATTGCTAGCTGGATGTAACTCTTCTCATGTAGAATGTCTGGGTTTCATTGGTGAAAGTCTCAAGGGTGTGGGACTCACTG